TGAGTATAATATGGTAGCACATTTAACAGATTCCAATACAATATTATTGTTCCATTTTATACTGGTCAAGGGTCATGAAATGTTTGACCTGCTACGGGCAACCTAATATATTTACCATTTCGATTCAAGCTATGATATTTTTGTACAAAGATGCCTGGGGATATGACTACGTTTGAACAGGATGTGCGTGTTTGTAATAGCCAATTATAATTATATAGATGTATATATACAGATCACCTTTGACCGGTCTAGCAAATACCGACTTAGGAACGAGCTTTGCATGGTAAGAGACTTTCTGACTTCAGAGAAAGAAATCATAGATGTCGTGAGCCTGTCAGGAATCGAGGTGATCCTGCTAAACCAGGCATCCGATCGATATGCAGTTATGTAATACATACCGCGTGTGCTTTTAGTCTTGTTAATAGTAACACTAAGAAATTAGTTATATTTGTCGATAAGTACGCCTTGTTAAAACGTGCCCTTAATTGCTCGTTTGTTGGCTTGCTGTGTTAACAACGGCCAAACTCAATCAGCCCATGTCTACTGGTGGAATATTCATTTTTCGCAGGATACGGGGAAAAAAGAGGAACTAACATACCGAGTTCATGGCGGTGCTACTAAGAAAGGACACATCAAAGTCCGTCTGTCCCACAGAGCCCGATTGACCTGTGGCTGTTTGTATCTCGTAACATAATGAATGTTTTGGCCAGAACCAACTGCCGTCAGCCTGGGACAAGCGCCTGTTGCTTGCCTAGCGTCTAAGTGTTGGCGCCGTCGCATGTTGTTCTTACCGCACTAGCCACCGACGACCCATCTCATCGAAAGAACGACGGCGTCTAGAATGGCGCCAATAATAAACCTTCATATGTATGTCATATTGTGCCTTGACGATGTCAGACCATACAGGTTGCGACGTGAACGGCTTCAGAAGGCTCTTGGCAGTGAAAGCTAGCTATTATATTAATTACTATATTTACTTATCGGAACTATCTTCCATCGACAATTAAAAAAAAAAACAGTTTTAATAAATTACCTCTGTCTTGTAACAAAAGGCACCAGCAAATACTGGTCAGCTTATTCGCAGTACCCGACGTTTTGCAGTTCTTCATTAAGGACAGCCCTTGGGTGTTTAATCTGATGTGGTGGGCTGATAGAGTAGAATAAAAGACAACTTTATTCAAAGACAAATAGGTAATAGATACCTAGTCCAGTTTAATGAACGCATTATTTTTTATAGATATCATTTCTATTTATTTATTTATTTATTAACTTTAATAGAAGCTATTTTTTTGTTTTGTTAGATTGGAGTGATCTCTAATTACTGCTTAATACACACAGCGCGATAATAGTAGACATATACATACAGGCCCTGGGTAATAGGGTTGTATAGCATGAAGAGAACCATTCGAAGGACACTGAGTCGGTAACAATAAAACTCTTTTACGAACCTACTGGTATAAATATAAATACCAGTAGATTTACATAGATCAGGCCGTTGGCCGTCAAACTAAAATTTATTATGTTTGCAGTAGTCCTCTTTTTCAAAAGAGAAGGCCCAATGAGTTTTGCATACCAGATTTCACTGCTAAGGTATTCTTTCTGCTATTGTGAGGCTCTTATCCACAAAATTCAGAACCCCCCATTTTAAAACTTTAGCACGAACCTGATGTAGGCTTAACGCGATAAAGTAAACAACCTAAATAGCATCAGAAATGGCAAAAGCTGGAAGTAACAAAAAATGTCTAAGACGCAAGTCCGTGTCTGGGAGCCTATATATCCGTACAGTATGTACGCAAATAATGACGCTTACTAGTAAGAGCTATCTCTAAACAGGCCAGATTCCATGGGGAAGGACAAGCAAACGGACTGCTATGGTTACAACAGCTTTGCTGAATATAGGGATTTGGATTCCGAACCATTTATATTTTCCCGAAATATTCTAGTGGTTCATTTATTTGCAACTGGCTAGATATATAGTGGCTTTTCTAAAGAGATATTAGTTGTAGTGGCTCATTATTCAAGCATTTAAACTACAAAATTAAGAAATCATCTGTTTTTCTTTCTTTCTTTCTCGGTCGTTGGACGGTCAACTGAGTCACTTTCAATACAAGTGCGACAATTGATATCTATATAGGTAGAAGACACACCACTAACAACCTCTATCGTATGAAAAAACTAGAAAAAGCAGATAAATAGGACCCGCAGCCCAGATATTGTTGGCCCGTAAGTTGAGCAGACGCCGGTTTTTTAAAGCACCGTTGTACATAGTCTATGGCTTAATTTAAGCTATATCTTGCAGCATGATTGAACCGTTCTCTGTTCACCTATCACCACTCAATACTTCACTTAATCACATAATACCCTCTTTAGGGCCTACACACTTGATATAATGATTGAGGATAGTATGTATCAATTTACTTTGACTCGTGCCCTACTACACTCCTTCTTTTCCAGTTAGCTTGTAAATAAGGGCACACTTTAAGCTGAGCCATCGGAAAAGCGACTTTTAATTAAAAGGCAATCCACTTGTTTTATAGATAGATGCATGTCTCTTCCACAACCAAAGAGCTCGGTCAAAAACTTCCAGCTAATTCTCGGTAGCTGATCCTATTATTATTATTTATCCGAAGAAACTTTGGAACGGATAGATGATTTCAACGTTCAGCTTCCATCTGCAAGATGTAAAAGGACTATAATGGTCACGGGCGAAGACCTTTACTGAAATGTTCCTCACGAAGATCACAAAAAGCCTCTGAAGTCAAAGCGACATCTTGATATTTGTAGTTCTCATCATTTGGGTTTGGAATCTAATAATACTAAGTAAAGTTCTACTGAACTCTGCGAAATGTAAGGTTCGTATTAAATTTTGCACGCTAACGTGAATAGTATTTAAAGCGTTCGTCTTTGTGCATATATATAGACTGCCTCAGATACACGACGTGTGAGCACAGCTTTCATTTCTCCAAGAAGTTGTAGACGGTGCTTAAGTTACCTAAACCGCAGCTGGGTTAGGGTCTAGATGCTTCCGTAGAGTCGCGGTCTGATTCAGCGAGCTACTTTTGAAAACTAGTGGATAGCAGTTTCCGAAAAAAAAAAAAAAGCTATATTTAAGCAACCACGCCTAAAACAACAATCCTGCTATCAATCCTAGATTTAGTAAGCTTCTAGTTCAGATACTAAAAGAATGAATTAAGGATAAGTGAGAACACTTAGCCGAACCTAACACAAAATGATACCGCAAGAAATCAAATTATATGCCCATTTTACCTGTCAAATAATTGCTTATTTGATTGCTAATATGAAATAACTTCAAGTTGACATACTTTTTTTTCAGTACTATATTTATGGTAGTCAAGAGTCAAAAAACGATATGTTTTTTTTTTTCTTTTTCCTATTATTTGTACATCTGTGCGATTATTTTTGACAGAAGAAAATAAAGAGTTCTGGCAAAAGGATTACCGTTATGAGTAACAGTCATCGCTACCATCATAAGAGCCATTAAATGAGGCAATGCTATCACGCACCGCATTTACGACGGCACCACGATACAAACAATACGTAAAAATGTTATATTTGGTACGAGCCAACCCGGCTCATTCTAAATACTCCGTTAGTGACACCGACAAAAAGTCGGCATCAGTTTAGCTGGATAGCAGCATTTCATTTTTCATCTTATTCCTTTCTGTATCATTAACCAGCATTAACAGGAGCAGTGCAAGAAAAGGAGTCACCATTGTAACTATTACCGCCTGCTGCTGCTGCTGCTGCTGCTGCTGCTGCTGCTGCTGCTGCTGCTGCTGCTGCTGCTGCTGCTGCTGCTGCTGCTGCTGCTGCTGCTGCTGCTGCTGCTGCTGCTGCTGCTGCTGCTGCTGCCGCCAGCTAGCCACTGCGACACAAATTGATGGATTGCAAACATCAACTGACGGAAGGCCGGATATACGGACAGCCACACAGGCAACAAGGCGGCCTTTGGACATGTCTTGAAATAGAATAAAGAAAGAAGCAAGATCGTTATCGTCATCCCCATTGGTATCGTCCTCGTAACCGTTGCCCCGATACTCGTCGCCTAGCGGGTGCAATGGCGGTGATGGTGATACACGGCAGCCCATCCGCATATTCGAGAGTAAGCCAGAGCAGGCGAAAGAATGGCAATAGCCGGGTGACATTCAATCGGCGGTACGCAAATACGGCGATAGCCATTTGTCAAGCTCCGCTTAGAGCTGGCGCCGCTGCTACTGCTGATGTAGGGTCAGCAGTGATAACGGGAGAACAGAAAAGTCGTTTGTTGGCATTGGTATTATGATTGTTACAGCTCCTATCGAGTCTTTCTACTGAACGCTAGACACAGGTAGTACTGATAGTCTGGAAAAGTTAGCTACATACAGAAAGAGAAACCGTCCAGACCTGTCTACCGTGTTCGCCTGCTACTTACAGCCACCCAAGATATATCAATGTCAATACGACTCGATTCTAGTGCTGCTTCTGCTACTGATGTGTTAAACTCAGCTGGCGCCACTAGTTCACAGGCGCTGATAATAACGCGACGGCGGTCTGCAGGTTTGTAAGGCTGTAGTGGCCGGCCTCGGTATGGTCGTTTCAACTGCCACTATAAACTTTTTGTAAAGCTCTTTACTTTATAACGATCATCTGTACAGTTTATAACTGGCGTCTAGGACTTTTCTCCAGTGGTACTAGCCAGGAAGTTTATTGCAGGACAGCATTAGCACTCCTCGAAACGATGACCCGCACGACAAAAAAAAAAAAAAAAACAGGATTCATTTCAAAACATATATTATAGCTGTCGCTACTTTGCCTCCTTGAAGAGCCTACGCTTCAGCTTATCAATTTTATACAAGTACCTGAAAACGAAGCGTTGCGGACGTAGAAAGCGAATTGGCTACACACGCACTAATATCGTTTCAGTGTCTGGCTATAAAGACAAATTGTAGAACAATTATTACAACATTATTATAAAAAATATATATATATATAAAAAATTATAAACACTAGAACGCTCGATGGCGGCGAAGACAGCTCGCCGTAGAAACGCTGCATTCGGTGAAGATTCTACTAAAAACACCGTAGGCGATTTGTTAAAACAAAAAAAAAAATCCGGGAAAGAAATCTAGAACTCGAAACACTGCTCTCGTGAAAGGAAGACCCCTTATAAAGGTAAATAACCAACGGTCGAGGACTCATCTCAAGTGCATAGCTGTTAGTACTCTAGCTTTTTGCATGTAAAAACATGTACAATCTTGGCCAGATGAGAAGTTGTACAAATAACTACTACATATTTTCAACGAGAAACAGATACGTAGAGACGCTTGTTTCTTTGTCCACCGGTTACAGATATTGTTGCTGGCTCTTCTACCATAGTCACCTCAGTGGATGGACGTAATCGTATTCCAGGACACCATCCTGAAGCGAGTATGTAGCTGTAAAAACTTACAGGGTCTGTTTAATCGTATAATGTAAACAAATCCTGGTTTGAACTGTGGATAAAGTGTCGGATGGAACCAACAGTAAAAAAAAAAAACCTCCGCACTAACTAGCCAAAATTAGTGAACGGAACTTTGTTCGCATGCCTCTTGCACGGCAGCTTTCCATCTGTTTTCTGGACGCTTTTTCCGTTATCCAACATACTCGCTAGACATCTGTTCTTCAAAATTGCGCCAATTTTATAAGAAAATTACTCTTTAACTTAACGTCGAAATGATCTTTTGGCTCTTCATAGACTTTCATACTTCTGCAGCGTGGAATAAAAAAGTTATATAAATGACAGACAGAAAGTTTGAAAAGCGAGTATTGTACTAAACAACCTCATACACTATATGTAAATGAGATGCGTATTCCAAATATCAGAAGATCACGAAGTTTTTCTAGGACAAAGCAACGAACTCACTGTAGTGAATGCAGTGCGCCATTTTGGCAACTTAAGCGCGTATAAGTTACTATCTAGTCTTTTTGCGCCTTACGAGGCTAAAAACTTCCTTGTTTTCTCCGAATTGGCCTGTTATTACCCCAGACTTTAAGTCTGCTGGAGTTTTTTTTATATATTAGCGATGTTTTATTGAATTTACACCTCTGCCAATACGGTAGACGGTTATTATATTAAATGCACATGACCGTCAGGGATGACACCTGTACCCTGCCTTTGTTCAGATGCAGTTTTACAAACAAGGCGCAGGTTTCGTTTTGCCAGAGAGACTGGCGATCGACTAGCCGGCGGTAAAAAACTTGTATACCTACAGCCAGCAAGAATTGGCGACACATTTATTGTTATTCTATATTTTGTAAATCCGCGCCTAAACTTGCCAAATATTTGTTGTCGAAAGGGAGCAAAGCCTTTAAGTTTTCCATTAGCATAGGGAGAAGGGTCCTTTTTCGCTGACCATCCTTTATGCCAACTTTCACGCTCAAAACATTCTATATGAATACAGTCTTTTCATGAAAACCTTAAACAGATTGTTGCTGGCAATGGAAGGATCAAACAAGTCCGCATTGTCGAAAACAGTATGGAAGGAACCTGTAAGCGGTGTGAAAGGTCACGATCAAACAAGATCGACGCTAACGGATTACCTGTGTGTCTTAAATGAAGCGAACATTCATTGTACGCTATTTAATGCCATTACAAATAAAGATATATAAATCAGAACTTTTATTGTCCTATTGAAGTAAGCAATAAGTTCCGTTTGTTGTAGCCGGCAGACTATACGACAGTGTATTGGCAAGCAAAGTTATTGCTATCGAAAAAAGTTACTCACATAGGAGAAAATGGGAAGTCCAACCGCCGTTGCAACGGAGGCCTCTGTTTTGCAGAAGTTCTCAGGCCCGATGATAACCGAGACATTTTTGTTGAACATTTCTACAACGATTCTAGTTGCCACATTAGGATCTCCGCCTTCGTCCTCGAATAGAATTTCCACCTACGGCACCAGGACATAATCAATAGGTAGTCTTTATCCAAAAATACTACATCACAAGGTTTTAAGCATACGAATAAGTATTTTGCCTACCTTGTCGTCGCCCAGAATCGTGCTTGAATTGTTGATCTCCTCGGCGGCAAACGACAGTGCGCCAGAAATTTTCAAGCCCAACTTGCTTCCGCCCATATTTCCAGTAAACTGCGGGATATAACCGACTCTAGAAACAATTTAATTTCATATTACTTTATTATTATCACATATTTATTCATATATAAAATAATAATACATTACCATTATATGAATAGATAGTCAATATGATGGATACATTTGAGGTACAAAGAATTACGCTTTGAAATGAAAAAGAAATGGCAATTCATAGTGGAAAAGGACGGAGCAGAAATGATCTGCGGTGCTCTCCTGCATGCAAAACCAGCAAAAAATTTTTTTCTAGCGTTCCTGTTTTTACTACACTCTGGATATCGAATGTAAGTTTAGCATACCTTAGAGTACTTGTAGCAGAGCATGATGAAACACACCTTCTGAGTAGTTTCGGACAGTACTACTCTACCACTACTTTATACCGAAAAAATTAATTTAAAATGAACGTTCATTCTAGTATCGAACTCTAATGGTAAAATCTCTAGTATTGATTTACTTAAATCTTAGACACATTAGACTAGTACGATACGAGCGTCTTTACAAAAATGCTTCAGAATAAAAAAGGGACATCATTCAAACACAAAGGCTAACAAAGGGCACCGAAACGATCTTGAGAACTGACGTCGCGGAAAACTTGATCGTTAGTACTACGCATATTTAAAAACAAGTTCTTTCGGTAGGATGTCCTAGTTGAGTTGTTACAACATTTACCTCTGGTACTGCTTTGTCGATTGGCTCTGAATATGGAAATAAAAAACAATGACCTTTCAGAGAGAACCAAATGCTCCTGCAATGAGTACGTTAAATTTTCGTATTGGTAGTCGTTCGCGTATTATCTACTTACGGTGCATTTTTTTACCCCAATCTCTGTATGCATATGTGCGTGTTCGGTAACCTACTTGTGGATTTGGCCCGCCGCTGTTAACGTGGGTTCCAGAAGAAGCGCCACGAGCGTCGCAATCAGCAACAGAAGCGGACAGCGCATCGAGGAAGCGCTGGAGATTCCGACAATCAACCAAAGTGGCCATTGGCACGCAGTGGTCACAGTGCCGATAACGTAAGCAGTACCAGGAAGCGTTGCTGTACTCGTAGAAGTGACGCAATAGTGGCAGAAATAGCGACGAAAACACTCGTGAAGATTTGGGGAGGCTGAATGGCGCCTGGTGGTGTGGGGTGGCGGCGACCCCAGGGACCAGGAGCGCATTTGCGATTACTCACTGAACGCCGAGCGCCTTTGTCGGCAAGGTGGGTCTATTTAACGCAGCCAGCCAGTCTGCTATTTAGCTAATGGAGGACTAGCCAGATTTCAACAGTCTATGTGGCGTTGTCGTGGTTATGATTAGGTAATTGGTAAACAATAAAGAGCATGACCGTTGTCTCTGCACGGCATATGCTAGACGAATTCGGCAGATGCCTGGGCAAGTCAAGCTGCTGGGAGCGCTCAGAGAGGTCTTTAGCGGTCACAGCTAATTTTAGAGCGAAATGGTGTCACCATCGCGATGAAGACGCGGATTACCATAACGGCGATGAACTTAAGGATGCATTGAGCATATCGTCACGTTGCTGAAAATAAGCATGAGTATTGACATAATTAGTAGGTTTCTATATTAAAAAACTAGCAGTATTTAAAAATACAAACTTTTTGTTAGTGATCAAGATAAAAACTATTATACAGAAGAAAACCGCTGTCACAATGCCTGCTATTTTGCATAGAAAAAAACTTGCTTCAAGCAGCATAAAAACATAAGAAACTAGGGGGAGGATTCAGGGAGGTATGCAAGCTAGTCGTAGCTTCAGGACTCTGCAGCGCCGGTGACCCGCTGCGATAGTTCAGAATCCCGGTTTGGGTGCAACAGCTGAAGGTATTTCTGAGTTTTGCAAGGGCCGCGACGGAAGATCGTTACCCTAATTATCCAAATCGATTTAATGAGGTGTCGACATCCACCATAAGATTGCCGCAGCTCCTGCCCTCACCAGTTATTGGAAACTTCCTGAACTGATCGCACCGAAAATACGGACCAAATCCCGAATCGCAGTTCCAAATCTCAGTCAGTCGCTCCCAGAGCAAAAGTCGAGGCCAGAATCATGTGAAATGCTAGGGATCATTTAGCGAAGCTACAGGGGCGCCTTCGCATTACGCTATCACGCTGGAACCAACTTGCTGTAATTTCACTTTGTTCACACTCTTGCGCGGAAAGAAACGGGCCGCGGCCATCCATTTAACGAAGTTTGCGTGCTCTATGACCCTCATTCCACGCTTTGTAGAAAAAGTGTTATGCCTTCAGAATACGGTTTATGGCGCTGTATACGCGACGAAGTAACAAGAAGTGCACTGTAACCCTCGTGAAGAAGCGACCTGCAGGTCGTGGCTTACCCTATTTTCAACGTTTCCATCGTAGTGGCAGGAAACTTCAATGCACGCTTGGACCAGCCCACCCCGAGCTGAACGTCAACCCTTCAAGTCGTACTGATGGAGCATCATTGCCGGATAGTCAACCTTAGCACGGTACCAGCGTTTGCCGGCCCTGCAAAAAGCTCTATCATAGATATCTTCGCAATGAAACCGAAATGAAATAAAATCAAATACAGTGAAAAAGGACAGTTCCAAGCACACATTCCTGTCGCATTAACCTTCAAGGTCCCCTTAAAACGATTGGTTATCTGAAAACATAAACCTCTATCGCGTAAACTGGAAGAAGCCTTTAAAACTCATGAGACCATCTCAGTGCCAAGTACTCGATCGATGCTAAGGTCCATTCGCGTCATCTCGTTGATATCCTACGACTTTCGCATGCTTATCCAGCCTGCCCTAGGAAACATCGGCCGAAGTTCGGTTACAACTGCTACCTCGTCCGTCGTGCCCAGGATTACTGGCAACACTATAACCGGTAACGGCGCCACTGGCATCGGGGTCCAAAGTAATTTTCAAGAAAACACATGCTTCTCAGAGTAAAACATATCTAGAACAGCAGGCGACTATTTTTATAAAAGCAGCCAAGCGTCAACTATATACATGCCTTATCTACGGCAGGCCTGCATCGTGTCCCATCACCTCGGCGGTGCTCGCGACACCATATCTTAGGGTATCTAACTGCCCAACTCAATGAAAAACAAACTGACAAGGGACGAATGTAATTAGGTGAAGTAGGAGTTTTTCGTCCGTTATGCGTTCAAGAGCATATGTTCTAAACAGGCTGTGGGACCAGACAGAATTTCAAGTGGGACACCTCGACGCCGCCATGGAGCTGACTTCGTACTGAACTACTTTGTTCAATAAATGTCTTCATTCCGAACTGTTTTCTCATCATTAGCGTGATGTAACGCTTCTCATTAGTCCAAAAGGCAAAGGCGACTCAAAGCAACTGACGTTATGGCACAAGTCACGAAGAAAAACGTCTGCTGTAAACTTTTCCTGTATCTGTTGACAAACGGGCTAAATGCGTTCCTAGAAAGTGTAAGTGTCCTATCAAAAAGGCAACACAAATTAAGGTGGTAACATTCAGTTGTAACGGTACGCAAGACCCTATCTACCAAAAAATACGCGACACTTATAAGAATCCCTCGGCGATATATTTACACAGCGTTCGTAGGCTTAAAGCTGCCTTTAACTACACCCCAAGGAGCTTAGCTACGGTGTTTCACCAATATCGATGTTCTTACGAACACGGTTAAATTAATAACAGCGATATTCTAAGAGAACAAGGTTACAATTGATGAGAGGGTCTTGGAGCTGCCAACGTTTCTGTACACTACAGGTGTGTTATACTGAACGGAAAACTCGAAAGAAAGACTACGGGTGTTGCCTTGAGATTCTGGATTTTTCTCAGTCTTGCTTAAGGATCATTTGAACAAGATATATAAGCCCAAAAATATAGTGAGAATTCTCATCTAGGCAGACGATTCAGTTATTTAGGGGAACCGTCGCTTCCATGGGCAGTAGTCCCGTGACACGTTATATCTTCCTGGCCGATGGCTGGCTGATGGATAGCTTCACTTACCTAGGGTAACTAATCCTATATAACAGGTAAGGCTAAAGTTAACTTATTAATCAAGTTACAACCACTAGGCCCTTCATGACTACAACGTAGTTAAAACGAGCATATTACAACAAGATGCAAAAAGGCTTTGATAGTTTCGTCCCCAATACCGATTTCCCGATTACCGATTTTCTCCGCTTTACGACTTTTTGACCTCAAAGTTGCGCCATTTGCCGCATACGATAATCTGACAATGGAGAACATTTTCCTTTTATTTGTCTTTGTACTACGTGTAGGTTATCGTCTGACCTATATCATACTTCTTGCTACCTACAGTTTCGCTCACTGGATAACCGTTGTCAATAACTAACCACAGAACGGCATAACATGGTATAAACTGTACAGTGCAGTCATTGGTAGATCCAAACTAATTCCATGAACCCATTCCAGGAACTCTTTCATGATGTCAGGCTGAGCCGGGTTCGTGAAATCTAACTATATAAAATATAAGCATATAAAGCTTAGAATGCCAAATTACCATAAATGTATTATATATTTCTAGCGTTTGGCGATAAAAATAAATAGTTGGCTCCATGATAAAGGCGGGGCATCCCTCTTGAAATAGTTGACGTTATATCCTATTATTATATGCTCTCTTAGCTCGGTATACTTTGCTCATTTAACACAATACGTGTAATGTTAATGAACTGAAAATGAACGGTTTTATTTAGATGAAGTAAATTTCGTTCCAGATACTGTGAGCGCGCATTTCGTAATACACAAGCCCTTTCGATTCTTCAAAAAAGCCTTTTCTAGATGGTGTACTAGCTTGTGGCCAATTTTACGCAGTGCCAACGCTTGTTTTGGATGATTTCGTTCAGCCTGTTTCAACGAGCTTGTCGACTGACTACTAACTGTATACGTTTTTACGTTCACATAATTTATTCAGTTTAACGGTTTATTTGACATATCGATTAGCTCTAAGTGTTTTTCGTGCGTAGTCCTAAGGGTATTGTTACTAATAGCAATAATAAAAGAGTATTTCGTTATTAAATAAGGAAAAAAGCAATAGACAAGTTCGGAAGTCTGCTAAATGAGTCAATAGTCTATCTGATAGAAGGTAAGAATTATACTATGCGAAGTTGATTGATAAGTTACAACCGCTGGGCCCTTGATGGTTACAACGCAGTGGAAATTAAGAAATTCAACGTAGAGTATTCCTGTCTTTTCCTGGTGAGAGAGAGCAGGCTAGCGTCATTATGGTTATACGACACACACAAACACAATTGTCAGGAAGAAGAAACATGATGACCAAACGATTGAAAGGAACCCGTCCGTAGTTCGACTCATCGTTCATTGGTAGTTCACTCTGAAGTTTCCTTTGCACACTTCCTTATATAATTAACACAGAACGCAGATGAACAAATACTCTAATAACAGTAGTTCTTAGACTGATTTAGCAGGCATTTCTATTTTGACAGCAGGATGAAAGTCAACAGTCAGCACTCAGCAGGCTGTGACGCGTCCTGTTGAGGTGTCATTGGTTTTACCTGTAGGATAAATAAGTTGTGGGAACCTATACTTGACACTAAGAGGCTGCCCTGTCGACTTCATTAAAGCAAACAATTTTGTAAAAATATTTAGACGGTTTTACTTTAGGTGCATGAAAGCTATGCGGTTCTGAATAACCTCAAAAAAAGCTAGGCAACGAAATATTGCGTGTCAGCTTCCCATCGCGCCTTGTGAAGCCTTAAAGAGCCAGGCTTACCACCTATTCGGTTAATAGATTTTTATGACGACAAGCAAATTCAGAGACGAACTTTATATCAACGTCTCTCTGTTCCCACGACACTGTCACGCAGATGTGCCCAACCACTGCCACCGATGCCCGGCTGTGACCCAAATGAACAAATATGTAGAGGCTATAATTTTAACCGCGATTTTATTGTAATTACGTTCTAGATAGCAAAAGTTAATGAAGAACTTATATCAGTATACATTTTAAGTACTATTTGGGACGACACAATAATAAAGAATAGCGCAAAGTCCGTATAGCTAGCATTAAATGTATCAACTCCGAAGACAGACGTTTACATATAGATGGTCATCTGAATGTGGCGTACGGCGTCAGCTAATGACCTCCAGAAACCTATTACGATATCTAAACAGCTTCAGACGGTGATGCTTAAAGCAATCATTATTGCATCAATGTCTTCAAAGTTAGCTGAGTGCCACTATTCTTAGAATTGCAAGTTTTATAGTAAAAATTCGACAGATTGCTAAAAAGAGTGATCATAATTATCGGATCAGGTCTTGTCCACACAGCTTGTCCGCATCTACCTTACTGATTTATGATGGAATTTCTGAAACAGGAGGGTTTAGAGCTGAATATAACCAAAGTTTGAAAATAGCATACGTTAATTAAAGAAATCCGCCTTTTGAAAAGGCTCGACTAAAACATCAGACACAGTAAATCGCAAGGCCTTATAGGTCTTTATACAAGCCTTATACATTTACATACCGCACTACCTTTGGCTTTGCAATGAACGCACGCAAATCTTGCCCTTTAAACTAGTGAACTTCTGT